TCCGATGATGTTGATATGAGAGTGCACGACGAGCGTGATTCTAACGTCAAAAACATCATACGATCACTTGTTCATGTCCTATTCTCTAATATGAATGCAATTGTATCACAAAAAATGTTAAATAGACCTGCAACCGATTATACAAAAATAAACAAATTTTTTACCACCGACGAGTTCATGAATGGCCTTCTAAGAACGGTTGGACGTGTTCTTGGATCTGGGGAGACTCCTGGGAATCTAAGGAGTAAGTTTTGATCATTGGTTTGGATTGATTATGCCTGGAAAAGTAGATGTGAATTTTGGAAATTTTGAGGAATTTTTGAGAATTTGGTAGAGCTTTGTGAAGAGCTTTTCGAGAGCTTTTTGAAGAGGAATTTCATGCTCTTAGCTTGTGGTTAGCTTGTATATTTATAGAGGAATGAAATGGTGAATAAACATGACAAGAATCCACGCATTGATCATGGTTTTGAAAGCAAAATCACAAATTTGAAAAGTTGCCATGTTTTGGTGTTTTCTTGCCCTTCTTGTCATACATTGAATATGGTCCTTTTCTATATGCCTTGCACGAAATCTTGGGCCTTATATTGACCCAAATCATCAGCCCATATGTCAAAACCTATTATCTATTATTTTTTGCAATTTATTTTGTATTTATTTGAATAAAAACCAAAATAAATATGAATAAAATAAAGAAAAATGCAAATCAAGGTAAGAGTGAGTTTATGAGTTCTTGGCATGGTCATGGACATGTTTGAAGTCCAAAAGATTAATCCCAATAAGCAAAAATCACAAATTGCTCAATTTAGATTCCATGTATTTCTTTGAAAATTGCCCAATTTGTGCACCTCATAACTTACTGAATTTTCATCTTTTGGAGATGATCTTGGACTTTTTGGAAATCCCAAGATGTCCTCTACAATCTCTATGTTGACCATTTTTTATTTTGGATATATTATCTTGATGTAAGTTGTCTTGACAAAAAGTGTCTTTTGTTGACTTTTTGAAAATGACCTATAATGTATGAGATCATATCTTCCAAATGAAGCATCTTTTGGAGTTAAGAATAAAATCAAAGTTGTAGAGAATTGAATTTTATTCAAAATGTTATTTTGTTGGGGAAAAGTTGACGAAGCATGTGAAAGTTATGCCTGGTCAAAGTTTAGTTGACTTCTCCTAAGGAAACCCTAATTTGGCAATTCTTGACTTTTGATGATCTGAGGACTTTACTTGAGGAATCATGATCAAACCTTGATCAAATGATTAATATCACTTAAAAATGTTGATGTTGACAAAAAATATTGAAGTTTGACTATATGTTGACCATAATTGACTTTTTGATCAATATAGTTGATTTTCAAGCATCTGAGTCATTGACTGAGCAAACTTGTGATGTAGGGCTTGAAACTTGACATGAGCCTTGTTGAGGACCTATGAAGAAACATGAGAGCCACTTGAGACTTTTGCAGACCAAATTTCCTTGAGAAACTCCAAACCCTAGTTGTACGCTTTTGGTCTAGAAGGTGCATCTTGACTAGTCAACCCTTGGGTGCCTTGACCATTTGAAGGGCCTCGAAAGAATGCTTTAAAGAAAAATGGGAGAGAAAACTTTGGGGTACAACACATATAACCTGTAGCAGAAGGGTTTTATATGACCAAACCATCCACAATAATGATATCTCCAACGTTGAGTCTTATTTCCTGAGTAATTTTTCTGATGTCTATGCTGATGTTGTAACATTTGATTTGACATCTTCTATTTCGGCTTCCCCTTTTCTTTGACAAACTTTACTTCAGGCTCTTTTCCCTTGTTCTCCACAACTTGATTATCATACTCAATACCTCTGACATTTCCAGTACTCTTACCAGTCTGAAGAATCTCATCCAACATATCAAAGTTGTTGTTAAGCATTCTCGCAGACTTAATTATATTGTCAATTTGAGATTTGAGCAAAATAACTTCACCCTTCAGACCAAAAATGATGGACAAGTGCTTCACTTTCTCAACCTCCAAATCAAAGATGATAGACAAGTGTTCCACTTTTTTCAGTCTGTAGTTGAGCAATAGTTTTCTTTTGCTTTTCCCTTAATTGACACACCTCTTCACTTCTAAGACATAACTCCTTATAAGAAGCAACAAGTTCTCCAAAGGTTACTTCTTCATAATTTGATTCTTCATCAGAATCACAAAGTCCAGTCATGGCAGGAAATTGTTTGGCAGATTCTTCTTCACGATCACTTTCAGAATCATCTTCTGACTATGACATAAATAAAATTTTTTTTCCGCTTCTTGATATAAGTGGGACACTCAGCTCTTATGTGTCCAAAGCCTTCACATTTATGACATTGGACTCCATTGCCTTGGTTAGTCTCTTCTTCAGTCTTGGGCTTTCTCCCAAAATCCTGATTTTTGTTGATGTCGAATAACTTGTTCTTGACATTTGATCTCGACTTCCAGTCCACCTTCTTCATCACTTTGTTGAATTGTCTTCCAAGTAACACAAGAGCTTTAGATATTCCTCTATCTGTATCCAGGTCACATTTATCTTCTAAGTCTTCAGTATTGGAGACAAAGACAATGTTCTTCTTCTTTTCGGACTTTTCACTAATTCCTAGTTCAAAGGTATGTAAAGATCCCATAAGCTCATCAACCTTCATATTGTTTTATATCTTAGACTTTTTCAATGGCAGTCACCTTCATGTCAAACGTCTTTAGAAGAGATCTGAGAATTTTTCTCACCAACTTAGCTTCAGACATCTTCTACCCCAGGGCACTTGAGGCATTGGCTATCTCAATAATATTCATGTGAAAGTCACAGATACTTTCATCCTCCTTCATTCTTAAGTTCTCAAACTTGGTGGTAAAAATTTGGAGCCTATATATCTTCACCTTAGAGATTCCTTCATGTGTAATCTTCAATATATCCCAAGCTTCTTTAGCAACAATGTAATTACTTATCAATTTGAAGATGTTTTTATCCACTCCATTAAACATGGCATTCAAAGCTTTGGAGTTTCCTTGAGATAATTTTTCATCTTCATCATTCCAAGCCTAACATGCCAAAGAGAAAAAATAAGTAGATGTATAAGTACAAAGAGAATTAACACATACTAAGTTCTTATTTATATCATAAGAAAAAATTATAGGAAACATATAGAGGTCATATGAACAATGCTTGTCCTTGAGAAAAACTTCTTTGAAAGTCAGAGATCTCACTAGACAAAAATTAGGATGAAAATCAAAGAAAACACAATTATCATGTGCAAATTGACTAACACTTATAGATTTTTTTGTGATAAAAGGGATATGAATAAGACTTTAAAGAGTAAGATTAATTTTAAAATTGTAAGGAAATTAAAAATAAGATAAACCACAACCTCCATGACCACCGTGCGAGTTTTCAACTATAGTATATGTGATTTCAACTTGAGCTTGCATAAGATTTGTCTCAGATGGTTAAGTAGTAGAAGATTAATTTGATACATAGACTGAAAGATTGAGATTCACCATAACTACGATTTGTTTATGTAAACAACAAAGACACATCTCACGATATAACAATAAAGTATCAAACTTCTTCAATTGAGATAAATTTAAATTAGTTAGATTTAAATTGGCTGCACATCAACGTGATCGTTGATTTAAAATATTGGGGAAAATATTCAAGAATTACATCTAGATTTTACTAGACCAATGTTTGTTCTCCAATTACATTGACCGAATCAATTTGTCATTAAACACGTAAAAGAAATTATGATATTAAATTCTTCCAAATGTCGAAAAGAGTATTATGAAAATTAGATTGAAACTGACACAACTTCACTTACATGTATTATAGGAAAAACACATGAATTTTGTTTTAAATAATCCAATAGCTTTTGTAGCTAATGACTTATGTAATAATTTGTTTAAACATGTCGTATGAAATTGAAGCGAAAAACATACGAGTCTTACACTTTAAAAATAAAAAAAACATAAATTTCATTCATTGAAAAACAATAATTTAAAAATAAAGAAAACAATAATTTAATGACTTATGTAATAACTTGTTTAAACATGTCGAATAAAATCGAAGTGAAAAACATGTAAAATTTCACACTTTAAAAATAAAGAAAATATAAATTTTATTTATTGAAAAACAATAATTTAGGATAAACTCATTATTCTAGATTATTGTTTGTTTTAAAAAAAATTATATCAATTTTAGAGGAGCACACTTTAAAGAAATAAATTAAGATTCAAGCTTAAACCAATCTTAACCGTTATAAAAAAAAAACTTAATATCAATTTAAAAATATTAAATAATCTCAAACTTCACTTCAAACAACTCATGTGTAGACAAGACCTCTTGAATGTAGTAGAGCTCCCATGTGATTCATCATACCCTTCGATCCACATAAATTTCAAACTCAATTGCAATAAAGCAAGGAGCAAGCAAAGGAACGAAAAAATAAAGACTTTGACCTATCCAAGATTTCCATTGACTTGAACACCAAAGCTGAAAAATAGATAGAGAAAAAAAGGAAAACCGTAATACTAGTGTAATTATTTTTTCTTACATAAAAACCGTGTAATAATATTTAAAAAAATAATTAAAAAAATAATTAAAATTGCACTAAAGTCCGAGGGAAAAGAAAAGTATTACAAGGTGGGAAGAAAAAACAGAAAATGGAATGCAGATACAGATAGTAGTAAATAAAGAAAGGGATTCAATTCAATTCCACCACTGTGGTCGCTAGCCAGGGCTTTTTCAATTTTCGTCACTCCGTTTTCTCTCTCTAACAACCACTGTTTCTCTCTCTATCTCTCTCGCTCTAGATCAACAACCGTTTCAACAAACTCCAACTCTTCTCCGTTTTCGCTTTGAATTTCGAAGCTCTGAAAGATCCATAACCATTCATTTCGGTGTTGGATCTGCAAAATCTACGATAATCTAATCGAGATTTTTGGGATCTAAGCTGAAAAATCGTTGGATAGAAGGATCTAGAAGAAGAAGAAGGCGATGGCGATGTCGGGGATGAGAGGACTCTCCGTGTTTATAAGCGACATCCGCAATTGCCAGAATAAAGAACAAGAGAGGCTTCGTGTTGATAAAGAGCTCGGCAATATTCGTACTCGTTTCAAAAACGAAAAGGTGAGGTTAGGGTTTTTGGTTTTGGTTTTGGTTTTGGTTTTAGCTGTTATTGTACTTCAATTGTGGTTTTGTGTTGTGTTTAGTGATTGTTAAGCTTGAAATGAAATTGTTCTGAATTGATGTTACTGGAGACCTAGAAATTGAAAATTATCGAACTCGTTGATGTTGTTGTTGAGATTGATTTGTGAAATTTGATGGAAGTAGGTTAGATTCTGAGCTTTTTTTTTTTTTTCCTTCTTTTTTCAATTTGGCTTGGTTTTTGAATGAATATGACTTGAACTGGTATGTGATTAGTTACACTCGCGCACGCTTATTTGATCTGTGCTGGTATACTGGTATGAGAAAATATAATGACTAAATCGTGATAATTTGTGTACTGATGATTCTGTGGAAGAAGCATCGATGTTAAGTTGTAGGCAGAAATTCCAGGGGGTTTAGAGGAAGTAAAATACACTGCATTAGCATAGTTTCAGTCTACTAGCAAACTTATTATGCTTATTAATTTAAACAGATTTGGTAGATTACAGTATATATGGGGAGTAGTATGGTTTTTGTTCTGGGTTAAATCCAAGTGATTATACTTTTACTGCGGGAAAGATTGAAAGAATGCCTTGACAGCTGTACTATTGCACTAAAAGTAATGGTTTCTGTGAGGATTGACTTCAAATATATTATAATTTGTTCTACGATAATGTTTAGGGCTGGGCCTTCATGTTAGTTGCTTTTTAGCCTCGTAGATGTTCTATTTCAAATTTAGTTTCATTTTAAAATTTAGTTTCATATGACCGGATCAAGTGATAAAGTGTAGTAGTCCAAATTAATTCCCACAAGTTTCATAACTAACTAAAATCCTAAAAAGCTGGATTAAATCCTAAAAAGCTTGAAAGAAAATGCTCAAAATATCATGATAACGTGTTAGGCAGTAAGCATGCCGTATAGAAGACACTTGCAATTCAATTTATCTCTTTCTTTGTAACTACTATTTTGAACTGAGTTATCTTAACTGATCAGTTGATCTGGAGATTCTCTTCATTAACTGATGTCCAATTCCATGCTGCACCAGTCCCTTTTAGTTCCTAAAACCCAATTAATTTCTTAGCTTTTATTTTACGGTTAGACATTATTTTATGGTCTCAAGAAGTTCCTCATAGGCCCTAACCGCTATTCTTAGAAAATTAATGATTATCATATTATGTAGTTTAAGTTATGCATAAACATTCCTATACTCCCTAGATAGATTCGTAAATGGTCAATTCCTAAATGTAAATCAAGAACATTGATGAACACTCAATTGAATACAAAGAAGCTAACAGTTAAACCAATCGGGATCTAAATAGATCATCGTTCAGTCCAAACTACATCTTCACTCTAGCACAATATTTATTTCATCATAATTAATGGTAGTTGAAAATAAAATTTTAGCATTACACCTACATGTATGTGTTTTATTATCTCTTTACACTTTCTAGCTATCTTGTAATCTAAGCACAAGCTCGTTTTGACGGATTCCTGTCAGACAATATTCATCTCAAAAGTACCTCTCCTTTTCTAAATTAGGTCTATGAGTCATGTACCCATGTTTCCTGATTTATTTTAGCTTTTATGTCCTTCTAGACCTTTTACTCCTTCATTTTTTTGCAAGGATATGTTTGTTTAATTTTCTCCGTGAATGTATTTCATTGGATAAGACAGTGGACAGGAGTAAAATGCCTTAATTTCTCTTACTTTCAGTGTTGTCAAATCTCGGCTGTGGCAGATTGTGGTGGCAGATTTTTTCAACAACCGCCATGGCATTTTATGGTGTCTTAAAATGGCGACTTTTCCCCCTCTGCCATCCGCAACTGATAACCCTTTTTTATTTAAAATATCTCCAATATATATGAGTTTGGTAGCATAGTTCCAAATGCTACTGTTGGTTGTTCTTCTTGTTCTAGAGTGTTTAGTTGGTTAGAATTTGTTATGTTATAACTGAATACTCTAGAAGAAGGATAGCAAAAGTAGCGCACACACACATATATAGAATATACCTAAAAACGACAAGATTAATTTATTCAAAATCTGAAAATATCAACTGAGATAATGTAAATTGAATTGAAAATTCTAGTTATTAGAACCCAAAGATATGTGGAATCTAACAGCACACCCTTTCTTATTACTAGTATATCTATAGCTATTGGCATATGTAAGAAATAAGATGCAACAAATTTGTAAGTTTGAATCATGTTGTGACACACATATCCATGTTTTCAAAATTGGCGTGACTGTGACTTTGAATACCATTTTGTTGTTATAGAAATTGATGGTCCATGGATTGCCAAGCCTCGTGAATTTCTTTTGCTTTCTAATAAAACTAAAATATTTGATATTTGCATTCTACCACTACCTTCAATGGGTTTAACATAGTTTCTATATTCTAGATTGAGGAACTGAGCTAACTTTTCAGGGTGAAGAGCACTTCTTTCCCTGGACAGTGGTGTTGGATACTGAAGACTGTCATGTGGTTCTTGCCTTAACTGTACTATGTTTGTTGGGATTTGCATCCAGTCTTGCATACTTAATTCTTACTTTGGACTCTATTGGTGTCTGAAGTTTTTACCATTAGCAGTCAGTTTTTGCTCTGATGGTTTATTAAAATGCACCTGAGATTATGAATCATCAATTTAACAAATAAATGAAGTCTCCTGAAATAAAAATATATATGGATAAAGAGAGTTTCACCTCTTTTAAAATTGGAGGGTCTTTTTTTTTTTATTTGTTACAATTACAACAAATGGTACCCAAGTTAGTTTTATTGTGTCTTCCAGCCTGTTCTATTTGGTTTTTCTTCTATATCTCTGTTTTTCTAAAATCCTTCCTTATCTTTGGTAGTCTTACCCTTTGATCGCAAAATTTTGAAATGTTTTTTTACATTTGCTTGTAATGTGGCTTTTTTTGTCATGAAGAACCAACTATCCCATAAGCTTAAGTTGTTAAGTGAAGACACATGGATGTTTTTTTTACAATATCTGAATTATGACACCTCATGGGAGAACATTTTGATTGGGAAGCAAGGAGTAGATAATACACACTTGCATGCATAGTACTGAAACTCAATTTTTATTAGAATAGATCCATACAGGAAACAAGAATTGAGCCCTAGACCACTGGGTCATAGAGGCTTTGATATCAGTTCATGACCAACTATCCAAAAAGTTGAGTTGTTAGTTGAAGACACATTTAGGGTTTTTATATTATATTTGTATCTTAATATATATCTTCCTTTTCAGTGGCAAATAAAGAATATATGCTTGTTTGATATCCGCTTCTATGGTTGCTTGTTGTTAAAGAAACTTAAGTGTCCTCATATTGCCTCTAAGTTATCTTTTCTTTTGCTTTTTTGTTCTATCTTCAGGCTTTGACTCCTTATGAAAAAAAGAAATATGTTTGGAAAATGCTTTACATATACATGCTTGGTTATGATGTGGATTTTGGCCACATGGAGGCTGTTTCTCTTATATCTGCCCCAAAGTATCCAGAAAAACAGGTAAATTATTTTCCGTTATTGTACCTTTTGATAATGATTTGTTGCTGTGTTGTGTGTGTGATTCGTGTGAATTGTCATTTCAGTTCGATTACATGCTCACCTAGCAGAGAAAACATATGGATTGAACAGATGGTATTCTAACACTGTCATAAATATCTGCAGGTTGGGTACATAGTAACATCAAGTTTGCTTAATGAAAATCACGACTTTCTCAGGTTGGCCATAAATACCGTGCGTAATGATATCATTGGTCGGAATGAAACCTTCCAGTGCCTAGCATTAACTATGGTATGGTAATTTGATAATCTGCCAACATATCCATAGTTTGTTCTTAAAGTTAATAATTTTGTAGTGCTTACTGTGTTTCTCATATCTTAATGTACTGACAAGAAGTTATAGAGAATGTCTCGTCATTTCAAGAGAACTTCCTCTTCACATTTTGACATCCTCTGCATATGCGTGTGTTATGGCAATGCTTTAACTTGGAAATATGTATATAGTATTTAAACAACAAATATCAACACTCGATTTTTGTTTGTCATCTTCATTCTAACATATGTGAATTAAATGTCTCACTACAAAGGCATTATTCTATAACATTTGCAATCAAGATTTTCCGGCCATCCTGTTTCTTTCCTTGGAAAATAAATATTTGCTGGTGAAATATTGTTGGGTAAACCGCATGCAAGTTTCTGATTTTATCAAATAAAACATAAATGAATTACTTTTCTAGTAAATTCTCCCTCTTCTCTTCTGTTCGGATTCAATAACACTCAAGGTTGTCAAAGACAATAGACACTTGGGAGCTTAAGTATCTTTTAGCGAGAAGCACTACACAGTTCACTGAAGAAAGATGCTATATTTGAAAAAGAAGAAACCAATAAAATGTTTGACTGCATCGTAATTCTCATTTACTTACTGTGTAAATTAACTAGTTGATCTGACCCAAACATTCGTAATAAAATAAAGGGCAAGTGTCCAACCTGGAAATGGTGCTGTAGAGTTCCCGCTATAATGGAGTATAAGGAAGGGTTGGATTCATTGTGAATCTTTTGTAGTTAGCCTTTTGCCTTACATTTTCACTGTAATTCCATGACTCAAAGCCGTGGTCTCTAGTCACTCGGAAGCAAAACCAAAAATTGTTCACTGTTCACCGTTAAGAGTCTTTAAGACCCACCATACAATGCTTAGGGTAGTGACTTAGCATCACAATCCGCAGGTTTTGGTGACTGATTTTAGACTTAATATTTATTGAAGGTTCCAAAGGTAGTGGCTTACCAAAACCAGAAAGGGTTCCTGTGGCACCAAATATGTGTGCCTTAATCAGCAAGAGGTACTGACCTGTTCTGGACCTCTGGTGCCTTGCAATAACCAACTTGGGGGGCAAATTTTTTCCCAGATTATTGAAATTCATTTTTTATCATTTAGTTTTGCCATATAAGCTGGACTATCCATTTTAGTATCTTAGATAAACCGGATTCATTTGAGTCTTTTATTTCCATGTTTACCATATTATAATAACATGTACTGTGCATTTAAAACTCTATCGCCTTTAAACTTAGAGTCACTGCTACTATATTATGTCTTCTAATTTGTAGGTTGGAAATATTGGTGGCCGAGAATTCGCTGAGTCCTTAGCACCTGATGTACAGAAGTTGCTGGTAAGAAATTATCCATTATTATTGAATAGGCGGCATGATTGGAAAATATTGATCCTAACTGCCTTTTTGTCATCTAGTTATCTAGCAGCTGCAGGCCCCTTGTGAGAAAAAAAGCTGCATTGTGTTTGCTGCGACTGTACAGGAAAAATCCCGATGTTGTCAATGTAGATGGATGGTAAATGTGAATGTAATTTTGCCGATAATGCACTTCTTTCTTGATTGCTCTCCAAATATATATCTTGATAGTCCCCTCATACATTCATTTTAAGGGCGGATCGAATGGCTCAACTTTTGGATGAACGAGACCTTGGTGTTTTAACATCTTCTATGAGTCTTCTTGTTGCTTTAGTATCAAACCAACACGAGGCATATTGGAGTTGTCTTCCTAAGTGTGTCAAAACTTTAGAGCGGCTTGCTAGGAATCAGGATATCCCACAAGAATACACTTATTATGGTATCCCATCTCCATGGCTTCAGGTTTGTAAAATTTTCTTTGTCAAAAAATATATCTTAGGGCGTTGATTTTACAAAGATTTTCAAATGCTATGCTTACCTTTATTGAGAACTAAAGGTGTCAAACAAAGTTTTTCATTTTATCTTTAATGCTCGACAATTTTTGCCAAATCTAGGTCAAAACAATGAGAGCTCTTCAGTATTTTCCTACCATTGAAGATCCAAATACCAGAAGATCATTGTTTGAGGTTTGTAGTACCTCAATGATGCATCTAAAACTTTTATTTAGTTAACGGCTTTTAGTGAGTCTTATGAATTATTTCAGGTCTTACAAAGGATACTGATGGGAACCGATGTTGTGAAAAATGTAAACAAAAACAATGCTTCCCATGCTGTTCTTTTTGAAGCCCTTGCTCTGGTATGTCAATTGCACTGCGTTGAAAGCAAATACAATCTGCTCATTCTTTATAATCTTCTTATAGATGACATTGATGTGTAAATAAATTATAATCCTTTGGTTATGAATATGTCGGTCTAACGAGCTAAAACCCTAACAGAGGAGGGGAAAACTTTATACCATGGTGCTCTTGCACTTTTTTTCTCCTCTTGGTTCTATTTCTGTTTAGTATATTAATTCTGTTAAATGTTTAATGATTCATATTCATTAATTCTATTATTTATTTATATTTCACACTTGACTGCTTGCACAGTTGCAGTTATGGACCTAACCAAGTAGATTAAATGATGTATGTAGGACTGTTATTGATAAGAACAAAAAAATGGAACAGAAATGAAAAGATGAAAACTGAAATTTATATAGATAATTTTGGAATATTACAACACAGGTTTTCGAGAGCTTGTCTCTCCACAATTCAATTTCTTCCTAATTTTTCTGAATGGTTTCCTAATTCTGGTTTGCTTCTATTTATACTGCATTTAACATCTGTTTCTAATTGGCACAATTAATCTGAAGGGTTGTGACTTTCAGATTTGATGCTGTTTGGTTCCAAGGGTTGCATCCTTTCGGGTGGGTGTGTCTGTTCACCAAGGGTCACGCCCCCTGATTCGCATCTCTTGACCCTGCACTCCTTGGGCATCGCTGCCCGCGGGTCTAAAACTTGGTGATGGGTGGCCTAGGCTTATCAGTCACTCATACCATTCTTCACACATAGAAGCACACAATGCACATCAAACCTAAGAGTTGATAAGAGGGGGTGAAATCCCTTCTCTTTCCCTCTTCCATATTTTGCTTGGATATATTTGTTTCTGTACTCTGCTGTGCACAGCCATGTAGGGATGCTTCCAGTGTCCCTTTTGGTGGTTTTGTTGTTCTTACCTTAGTTACTTGTACATGCTACTGAGGTGATCTTGGAGATGTTTTAGTTATACTTTCTGTTGTAATTGCTCTGTTCAGGTAATGCATCTTGATGCTGAAAAGGAGATGATGTCTCAATGTGTGGCTCTTCTTGGAAAATTTATTGCTGTCCGGGAACCAAATATTCGTTATCTTGGCTTGGTATGCTGGGGGAACATTTGATTTATCTATATTTGTTTTCTGTTTTTTTTTCCTTTCCTTTTTCCCTTGTTTGTACGGAATAGCAAGGAATCTATGATCATGACCAATATTATGCTGTAGATTTCATTGCTTTAAAGTTGATAAGGTTGGTAGTTGTTATTATCATAACACTGTCCAGTTCGTAATGTATCTTATTGCGGTGCAGGAGAATATGACTAGAATGTTGATGGTTACAGATGTGCAAGATATCATAAAAAGACATCAAGCCCAAATTATTACCTCATTGAAAGATCCTGACATCAGGTTACATGTGTTCATATATAGTTGAAATCATTGATCTTGTATGTGTCATCACTGATTTTTTTGCTTGTTGAATCTAGCCTAATACAGATTTTATCAGTAACATGGTTTTACATGTATGTATAAGCTAGTGGTAATATGAAGGATAAGATTCCCATTCATGAAAGTTCTCACTTTTTATTAAATCTATTATTTCCAATTGCATTGATATACACAGTATTCGGAGGCGTGCTCTAGATTTGCTTTATGGCATGTGTGATGTTACAAACGCAAAGGATATAGTTGAAGAACTACTGCAGGTTTGGAACTAGATCCATGGACTAATTCATGCAATTTAGAGATTTCATTGTAACAAAAGAAATGTAAGAAAATAAATATACTATTTCATGTAAATCCGTAAGTGATTACTTTGCAATTCCAACTGTTTTGTAGTATCTCAGCACAGCAGAGTTTGCAATGCGTGAAGAATTGTCACTTAAAGCGGCTATTCTAGCTGAGAAGTTTGCACCAGATCTTTCATGGTAATTCTTTCGAGCCTATCACACGAATCCAATAGTAAATTTGTACTGTAGCAAGTAATCATCATTGGGTACTTTTGAGAAATAGTTTGACTGTGTGTCATTGTCTACTGTGTGTAACTGCTTAACTGCTCATATACAAGGCGAGATAAGAGAAGGCGAGATAACCTCTTTTTGTTTGGTTTGCATTTTGCAAGGGAAGGGGTGAATTTTAATGGAGGCAATGTACTAATTTATTTTTTACATCTGTATAATTGATGTTACATTGTGTAAGGAACTTTTGATATTTTAATCGTTACATTTATAAATTTAAAAGCCGTCATCCCTCCCCCTCCAAACGCCCTCTATATTAGAGGGGAGTCAAAAATCAAAATCAAGTTGTGGGATTTTGTAATTGCTCTATAGCATTTTTGGATCTGCTGTCATCTGAATCGATACTATCGATATCTATATCATGCCATCCTTTTTTTATAGGTATGTTGACGTGATTCTTCAATTAATTGACAAGGCTGGGGATTTTGTTAGTGACGACATCTGGTTTCGAGTGGTACAGTTTGTTACAAACAACGAAGACCTACAGGTGAGTCTGAAACTTGAACTGACAGTTGCTGCTTCCTAGTTGCCATATCACTCACAGGGCATGTTCTGTCTTTGATCAGCCTTATGCTGCAGCAAAAGCTCGAGAGTATCTTGACAAACCTGCCATACACGAGACAATGGTTAAGGTTTGTGTTTTCACCAGCATGTTGAAATTCACCAAGTTCTAATAGTGTATATATAATATTTACCTGTTTTACATGCCACTCACCGACTATGGATTGATAAATGTAAAATTTGTATGAAATAGCTATTGCGAGGTCTTTGTTAAAGGGGACAATTTAATTTAAAAATTTCATATTTTCTTAGGATCTAGGAAGTATACATAATGTCAATTTCTGTTTTAATCTATGACTTTATGTTAATTTGTAGTGACTAAATTTTTGTATCTGAATTTTCATTGCGACAAAAGCTCCAAATTTTCGTCAAAGCTTTGTTTTATAATATAATTTTGTATCTGAAAACATTTCAACAGGTCAGTGCATATTTACTTGGGGAATTTGGACACCTTCTGGGGAGACGACCTGGGTGCAGCCCAAAGGAACTATTTAACATCATACATGAGAAGCTTCCTACTGTATCGTAAGGGGAACAAACCTTACCTCTCGTTTTTCTAGTTCAAATGAATGCCATTGACACCTTACAACACATACTTTATTTTCAGGATTCCTACTATATCTATACTTCTGTCAACATATGCTAAAATTCTGATGCACTGTCAACCACCAGACCTTGAACTGCAGAATCAGATATGGGCAATATTTAAAAAGTGAGATATATCTATGATGTTTAACTTTCCATTGTGACTGTTCTGTTGTTTTTATGATGCCATAGGTTTTTCTAAGCCATTCTCATCCTTTTAGATATGAAAGCTCAATTGAAGTTGAAATACAACAACGAGCAGTTGAATACTTTGCTTTGAGTAGAAAAGGTGAAGCCTTAATGGATATATTGGCTGAAATGCCTAAATTCCCTGAGAGACAGGTACTTTTGCAATATTAATTCAGAGGCACCTTATTTGAAGTTTCCACAGTCACTTCAGTAACCAATGACATAAAAATCACGAATTTAATCTTTGAATTCAGTCTGCATTAATTAAAAAGGCCGAAGATACTGAAGTTGATACTGCAGAAACAAGTGCCATTAAGTTGCGTGCTCAGCAACAATCTCAAACATCAAATGCTTTGGTTGTAACGGACCAAAGTCAAGCTAACGGAGCTCCTCCGCATGTCGGCCAACTCAGTCTTGTAAAGATGCCCATCACAAGCAGTAATGTGGTTAGTTCTTATTTCTTATTTTTATGAGTTTATTTTGGTTAGCATTAATTGTTTACAGCGTCCTCTGTTTTAACCATAAAAGAGCTCCTCCTGTTGCTTCTTCGTTTGATACTGACTTCATCTGTACACAGGATGATATTTCAGCAGATCAAAGATTATCCCAGGATAATGGGACTTTGAATAACATAGATTCTCAACAACCGTCTGCAGATCTTCTTGGTGATCTGTTGGGTCCTTTGGCTATTGAAGGCCCTCCTAGTAGCAGTGGCCACCCTCAGGCAAGCTCAAATCCAGGAATAGAAGGGACTGCAGTCGATGCCACAGCCATAGTTCCCGCTGGACAAGATGCCAGTTCTGTGCAGGTACTTTGGTTGACTATTATCAAATAATGTAGTCTTCTGCCTAACCAGACACGCATACTGAATTCTACAATGATATTCCATTTGAAGATTATTTTTACCTTGCATTTTTTTTTACATTTTATGATTGGTAGTAGACTCCATTTTCCATTTTTCACATTAGAAGAATATTACTGCAAACATTTATGGGCATTGGAGCATGATTTGTACCCTTTGTATGTGCAGCCAATCGGAAATATTGCTGAAAGATTTCAGGCTTTGTGCGTGAAGGATAGTGGTGTTCTATATGAGGATCCTTATATTCAGGTTTTTTCTTCATTTCTTTTTTAATTATGATTCTCTTGGTATATTTTCGTTTAAATTTTTACTGATATATGTGTAGCTTGTAAAGTCATGTATTTGTGGTAATTCAAGTTTCATTCATTCTTGTGTTCTTAGTTTTTTATTTATATAAATATACAGATTGGCATTAAAGCAGAATGGAGAGCTCATCAAGGTCATCTTGTTCTTTTCTTGGGGAACAAGAATACTTCTCCTCTTATAGCTGTTCAGGCTTTAATATTGCCTCCCATTCATTTGAAGATGGAGCTCTCTCTAGTACCGGATACTATACCACCCCGAGCACAAGTGAGTAAATTTTTGCAATCATCTGTTGCTTTTGAATATTGTTAGTTTTGTTTACATTTCCCCTCCTTTGATTGCATATAGGTACAATGCCCACTTGAGATCATTAATCTCCACCCAAGCAGGGATGTTGCCGTTATTGACTTCTCGTACAAGTTTGGTAACGATATGGTACTTAATTAAACTCGTATACTATAGTCTCAATTTTAAATCCACTATCCCCCTATGTAGTTCAACTCACGATAGAGTTGATCATGTACTTCTGCGGCTAGTCAGAAAACAAATGCAGGCTGGCCATTTTTGTAATACATTTAGTTGTATAAATGTGAATAATGAGATATGTCTAGGAAAAAGACAAGCATGTGGAGCCCAAGCCTTGTTTTAGTTGATATAAAGAAAATGAAGGCATGCTTCACCAAAATTGTGATATAGCTCAGTTTTTAATATTCAGGCAATAAGTTATTGTATATCTATAAGTTCCTCGCCATCAAAGAAATTGAATTGAATAAATACCAATTGTATTATTAAGAGCTTAAATTTAAATGGTACGCTTGGGGAAAATGTATAGTATGTGAAGTTGCATGGAAGTCTTGACATGCTACAATCATAAAATTTTAAATAATGTGCATTCATCTGTGTTGTTTTTCATAGGTCAATGTCAAGCTTCGCCTACCAGCTGTCCTAAATAAATTTCTTCAGCCTATAACTATATCTCCAGAAGAATTTTTCCCGCAGTGGAGATCGCTTCCTGGACCACCTTTGAAGCTTCAAGAAGTTGTATGTATTCTGCTTTATGTACATGTGAAGTTTGTATACTTGCCGATTTGGTTATGGATATCTTGAAAATGTAGATTTTATAGTGGCTTATATGCCAGCTTTTTCTTCTGGTCATGCAGTGACAGGTTCTTCTTTCCTATTGGTTTTGCAGGTTAGAGGCGTTAGACCACTTCCACTGCTTGAAATGGCAAACTTATTCAATAGTTTCCACTTGATAGTTTGCCCAGGGCTTGTACGTTATTGAAGTCCCTCTTAAAATTTACTTTTTTTATATATTTTCCCAAATTTATTCAATCTGTACTAACCTGCCTTGGCTTTATATATCTTCTTTAGGATCCCAATCCAAACAATATTGTTGCAAGTACAACATTTTATTCAGAAAGTACAAGGGCAATGCTCTGTTTGGTAAGCATATGTCAAAAGCATATTATACGGCACGGCTTTCTCCACTAGAACTGTATTAATAAATTATCTGGTGTGAAAAGAAAGGAAATGGAGGCAGCATTTTTTTAACTAGGAAACACCATTTTTTTTTTACCTTCAATATCACGTTACCGTGTATGTATTGGTTTTTCATTAAGAACCTCCATGTGCAATAACGCCTGCATAGATGTTAACTTTTCTACCAAGAATAGGAGAAGCTTTGGGAGTTCAGCGTTGCTGTTTTATTATAGACTTCTTAGATCCTGGTTGTACGAGGCTTTCCTGCCTGTCTTTCATAACTAAATTAAGATGATAGATAACCTTTGTTGAAGTTTAAGGGAATTGTTGTGTTAATAATCTACGCAAATGATGTGCAGGCAAGAGTTGAAACAGACCCAGCAGATAGAACCCAGCTACGAATGACAGTTGCTTCAGGGGACCCAACACTAACATTTGAGTATGTGATTTAAGTTTTCTGCTTACAGGATATTATCAATAGACTCTACATCTTTTATAGATCATTCTGACATTTATTTGCAGGCTGAAGGAGTTTATCAAGGAACAATTAGTGAGTATCCCTCTAGCTTCCCGTGTACCACCAACGCAAGCAGCTCCAATGTCTCCAGTGGCTCAACCAGCTAGTGCTCCTTCTCCTGCAGCATCGGACGATCCTGGGGCACTCCTTGCTGCTCTTCTATGACAAAATATAGAGCGTGTTCATTAGTCATTAATTACACACTTGTAAACATGATCTATGCAGCCTAACCCACCCATGTGTCTTTGAAGCTATAGTGGGGTGGATAAGCGAAATCATGAGCAAGGGCTGGCGGAGTTAAGGGTGAGCTTGTTTGCCAGCTGAGTGTTCCTGGTGGGCATTTTTGAGATTCTTTCTGCACAAAGTGATTGTATTTTAAGCCAGATTTTATATATTTGGGCGAGGGTTTTCGGTTTTCCTATATTTTTCCCCTACCCAGTTTTACTGGATTGTTTGTGGTGGTGCACCTCGTAGCATGTAAGATATTGCCTTTGATAGAACCAATTGTAATAGTTTGGAATTGTTCTCAAATTATAGTGCAATAATAGCTTGTGGAGTAAGCATTTTAATTTCAAATGCTTTGCTTTAGCGAAGTTGAATGAAAATTTTATTACCCTGACAATTTCGAAACAATTTGATCATTTCATGCAATACTACTCTAAAAACAAACAACTAATTTATCTGATCGGCTAAAGTGAATAGTAGTATTTGTTTGAATTTGTAGTCATTATTGATAAACAAACTAATGTTATTATTGATAAATAGAGTACTAAAATAGCAATTACTAATTTCCTTATCAGTAGTTTAGCCGAATTTTACATGTTATATTATAAGTTTATACCTTCAAAATATTACTAAAATCATGCGCAAAGTCTAATCACATAAAGTCATTTTAGTAACTTTTTTATGCATAAAAGCATCTATGTATTCAGTAATTATTGTAGACATTTGAATTTATTTATTTTTATTTTAAATTAAAATTCTTTGGGATATTTTATTAAAACAATTTATAATATTTTTTACAGGCTTTTTCCACTTTATTTTTAACTAATTTTTATGAATTTTTTTTTAACGTTGTGTTATTATTTCTATAAAATAATTTATATAAGTTTATACTTCAGAGTTTACTTTTATAAAACATTTGTACTATAAACTGTTTATCTAAACAATACCTAAATCTCAAGAGAAAACGTGATCTAGGACGCGAATGCAAGCAAAAAGAATAAACATGACATCACAATGTGAATCTCTTCCTTTGGTCTGTTTGATTTGGGAGCTGTTTTTTTTATCTGGTGTAATCTAGCAGCTTTTATTCTTTCCTTTGGTCTGTTCTGGTTTGGTGTTTGTTGGGTTACTGACTTATATATATATATATATATATATATATATATATATATATATATATATATATATATATATATATATATATATATATATATATATATATATATATATATATATATATATATATATATATATATATATATATATATATATATATATATATATATATATATATATATATATATGGCCTTGGGCTAAAGAGTTCAAAGTGGTATCCTTAGTCCCTAAAACGTGGAACAAAGAGTGGCAAATTCTCCTTCTATTGTGAAGGAAGTAATTACTCCTCTTTGATTGTTTTTCTAGACTACTCTTTCTCAGTCACTTCGTAGTCACGTGTGATAGGTGGTGCAAATCATGAGTTTCATCTTAGGCCTTTTCGGACGATTCACTTCGGGCAACTCAACCTAATTGGGTGAGGGTGACTACTACCTTCATGCAGGAGCTCGCTCGATGTTAATGTATCTAGTTCTTTGTTGCTTTCTCATAGGATATTATAATTATTTCAATTTAGTCCCTCAAGCACGAGGCCTAGCAAAGGGCAAAGTGATTGAACTCATGCATAAGGTAATTTATTTTTAGGTGAGACTTAGATAATCGAGTCTTTCAGATGAGAGTTTGTAAAGACGAGTCTCTCAAGCAGACTTAAATAGTCGAGTCCTTTAAGTGAGACTTTGTAAATGCGAGTCTCTCAAACGAGACTTAGATAGTCAATTCCCTTAGGTGAGACTTCGTAAAGGTGATTCTCTTAAGCGAGACTTAGACAATCGAGTCTCTCAAGCAAGGCTTTGTAAATACTAGCTTGTCTAACTCCCAGGCCTTTGCTTTTGTATTATTTATTTCATTTCTCCGTTAGAGGGTTCCGGGTTCCTGTAACATCTCCCTTCAATATATTTATTAAAGACAATGATCAAATCTTGTGGCAGTTTGCCTTATTTTATTTAGATTTCTTTCTTCGTAATTTTAATTAGTTTTGAGGTGTATTCTTTTATGTCGCCCTACCAAAATAGATTTTTCTCATAGGTCGAATCCATCAAGCCATGCTTATGGGCGAGTTTGAGTATTCTTTCGCGAGGATTCTAATAGGAAGTTTCTTGATAAGGCAACAAACACCCTTTAACAAAAGTCCAACAATCATATTGTCACTTAGGGTGAAAAGGATCTTTCAGCGAAGGTCCAAAAATTATATTTCCTCTTAGGGCGACAAGGATCCTTCAGTGAAGGTCCAACAATCAATAGCCTCAAGGGTGGCAAAGATACTTCATTGAATTTCTAACATTCGATAACCTCGTGGCTAACAAGGATACTTCATTGAAGTTCCATCATTCAATAACCTCGTGGGAAGAAAGGATGCTTAATTGAAGTTCTAACTTTCAGTAGCCTTATGGACGAGAAGGATAATTCATTGAAGTTAAAGCATTTAATAGCCTCATGGGGGGCAATGAGACTTCATTAAAGTTCCAACATTTAATATCCTCGTGGACGTCAAGGATACTTTATTGAAGTTCCAATATGTTTAATACATACAACCTCATCATTTATACAATTCTTAAGATAAGGCACCTCATTAAAAGTCCTCAACCCTAAGGGGGAAAAGTGTTATCCTATCTCTAATATTGAAAAAAAATTAAAACATTAAGAGATTTTATACATTTGCGGGTCAAATCCTCCCACCTTATCAAACAAGAAATAGTAAACGACTAACTATATATTAATTGAGTTCCAAGTACTTGAGATGAGTCTTTCGTCTAGCTCTTCAAGTTAGTAGGCGCCATGAGATAATTCAGGCATACACGATGTGGGTCTTCCTAGTTAGGCTGCAACTTTTCCAAGCGAGTTGGTACGACCACTTGCCAAAAAATGAGGTCGCCTTCTTGCATTTTCCTTGGGAACACTTTAGAGTTGTATCTATCAGTGATCTTATGTTTGAGAAGGAACTTTCTAATGAGGCGACGTTGTAAGTCTCGTCAATTAGGTTAGCTACATATCTGTGTTCTGTCTTATTTTCCTCTTCATTAAACTAAGCACGCCTCTATGTAGGCGTGCCAATTTTGAGTGGTAGCATGGAATTAACGTCCTTCTTGATGGGTGATTGAGGAGTGGAATGATACGACCATAATACTTCATGGAGATGTTTGTCCCAAAGTCCTTTGGTGCTGTCTAGTTTTTTCTTTATCCTGTATAATATCACTTTATTTATTTATTTGGCTTGCCCACTCTCCTGTGGATGGACGACCGAGATGAAATTTGTTTGTATTCCCAAGTGATGGAAAAAATCCACCATAATTAAGCTCAAAAATCGTGTGTCATTGTCTGAGATGATGACTCTTGGTAGGCCAAACCTGCATATAATTTGTTGCCAATAGAAGTGATGGACCCTCTCAGTTGTGATGTCAGAGACGACCTTCACCTCTATCCATTTTGTGAAGTAGTCTACCCCAACGATTAGGAACTTCAGTTGCCCCAACTATAGTGGGAAAATACCTAATATGACTATGACCTAATGATAAAATGGCCACCGTGATGTTAAAGTGAAAAGTTTCAGCTGGCACGTGGTGTAAGTTGGAATGTCTCTTTCACTTATCACATTTTTTGACAAATTATGTATTATCTTTCATCAGAGCGGGCCAATAATATCCCACCCTCATTAGTTCGTGGGCAAGATCTTGCCAACCAATATGATTGTCACACGTTCCTTGGTAGATGTCGGTGAGGACTAAGACGATCTTGTTCTCCCCTAGACATCTTAGCACGGGGAAGACCTTTCCCATCTTATAGAGATTCCCAGACACCATGGTGTATTTTGCTGCATGTTTTTGGACCTTTTCCTCCATATCGTTTGAAGGTAGCTCTTCCATCGTCAGGTAGCACATTATATGGGTCATTCAACCAATTGGTTAGGAGACTTCAACAACTTTGATTTCTTTTGTCTCAATGCTAAGGGTGGCTAGAGTTTCTTATATGATAGTCCAATTATGTCCTGTTTTCTTCTTACTGGAAAGCTTTGAGAGGAGATATGCTCAAGAGTTTTATTCCCTAGGCACATAAGTTATCTCAAAGGTTTTAAATTGTTAGGATAATTGAAGTACCTTTGTGTTATACTTGATCATTGGGGCTTTATTTTCTAGATACTCCCTAGTGACCTAATTCACAATTAGCTACGAGTTACTCCTAGATCTAAGACTTGAAGCACCCATTTCTTTGGTGATATTCATTATAGTGTTAAGGGCTTGGGTGAAAGAAAAAAGTAAGTTTTATAATTATTGTATCTATTGGAACAAGTTTGGTTCGTCAACTAATTCTTGGAGTTTTGATGATAGCAAGTACATTTGTATAAATAACCATTTTGTTTTCTAACAGTTGTTTAATATGCAGATAAGAAAACAATTCTGACTCTGAAGAAGTCTAGATGAAATGCACCAGATGCTAAGCATATCACATATTGATTTAGGAGATCAACGAAATCTGAAGACTAGAGAAGTCTGAAGATTGGTGTTACCAGAAGCAATTAGAATCTGATGTAAAAGAGAATAAATTTGAACTCTGAACAAGCTTCATCAATATTTATTAGAATCCTTTGATTCAAAGGGATAACATATGAAATAAGATCAAGAAGAAGCAGCAAATCAAACATGGAATCTGAGTTATCAAGTCAATGCATCTATAAGAATCTATCCAGAAGACATATGAAGATATACTCTAACTCTCTATGACTATGATATCTCAAGCTCTTAATAACTTACTCTGATCAAGCTTCATCATATCATATCATAAACCTATAACTCAAATAAGTTAACAATGAAGAAAGGAATACATCTGACCTC